CTCCAGCCTCTCTGTAGACCTCTTATGGCTTCAAAGCTTTGGTGAATAGACTGTCATTGGCCACAGGTCAAGTGATAATTTTTATGAAAACAAAGATAATATAGAAAAGCCCAACTTAATATTTAAACAAAATTTGTTTTGTTTTCCTCAATGTTGATAATCAGACTCATGACCTTGTAAATGCTAAGCAACAGTTCTCTCAGAGATCCACCTACCTGCCTCTTCCTCCCCACCTGCTGCCATTAAAGATGTGTGCCACCACACCCAGGTCACTGATTGTATGTATGAGCTTTTTCTTTTTTCCTTCATTTGTTTTTATTTTATGTGTATGGGTGCTTTGCTTGCATGTATGTCTGTGGATCACCTACATACAATGCCTCTGGAGGCCAGGTCCCCTGAGACTGGGTTACATAGCTGGTTGTGAACTACCATGTGGGTGCTAGGAAATGAAGTGAACTCTGGTCCTGGGAAGAGCAGTAAGTGCCCTTACCCACTGAGCCGCAGCTCTGGTCCCCATTTAATATAGCAGTCCTGAATGGGGAAGGGACTCTAAGATTGCTATATGTCACTTAAAGATCTGACTCAACAAGTGACTCTTCATCTAGTGAGAGAGGAACATTCATTCTAAGGTAGGAAGCAAGTAGAGGAAAGACTAGGATCTTTAAGGAGTTTATAGATCTGTATTAACACTTTGGCAAGCAGAAGTAGGTTTGGGAGAGAAATGTCTCACCCATACATTCATAAATTTGTGTGAGAAAATGGTATTAAATGTTGTGACCTTAGTCACTTTGTTTTTTGTTTATTTGTTGTTGCTTTGGGTTTTGTTTTTATGGAAGGTAATAACTTCATGCTAATTTCACATTTTTTTTTTTTTTTTGGAGAGGAAAGGAGTTTGTGCCACTTAATCTTAATCTTAATGCCACTTTCCCTGAATTTCAGATACCATCTAACACCCGTGTTTAGAATTATTCATTTAGTGCTCATGTGATATACATGTTATCAGTCAGGAAAGACATGTTGTATCTAGTTATAATTTTATATATTTCCTTTTATATTAGTGTTGAAATTTAGAAAGCTTATCTTTCTGAGTGACCTTGGGAACACAGAACATTGTGATGTTCACTGCCTAAACACAAGCTGTGTTACTCTATAGTTTGGGTTCCCCACTTTGTGGTAGCTTAGTTTTAGGCTGTGAAGGAAAGAGTTGTGTGATAAAGATGACATTAGGATAGTTGCTTCTAGTGCCCTCTCACTTTAGACCTGGAGTTTAACATTTTAGAAACTGCATGACTTCAGACTTACCTTCTTTCTTTCTTTTTTTTCTTTTTCTCTCTTTTTTTTTAATACTCATGCCTATATGAGAGATTTTAAGTCACTTTTACAACATTTCAATATTTAATATATCTAAAATCCTATCATTTTTGTTTGGGTGTAAGGGTTTTTGGTTTGTATAGTCATTGATTTTTTTTTTAAATTTTCATTAGTTAAAATTTATCAGTGTTTATTGTTCAAAATAAAATTCTCATAAGAGGAAAAATCGGATTAGATATGAAAGTCCTGTGGCCAGGGTTTAACTTTGTTCTCTAAGGCTGTCACCTCTGTTGCCTTTTAAACCTCAGAGTAGATCCTTAAAGTTCTAATTTTACTGTTAGTACTGTTTCTATTAATTCAGTCCAATGGCATAACAGCTTGAGTACATGTATGAAGCTGTGAGCGTAGTCCAGATTCTGACCAAGTCATTCTCCAGGGTTCTGTTCTGTTTACACAACCAAGAAAGCTTTGAAAGGAAGAAGCGGGAAAGCGAGGTGAATTGGTTAAGTTCCTCAAGTTTTGTTTTGAATTATCTAAACTTAGTCTTGGGGGGAAATTCTTTGCCTTCTACCAGAAGTCCTAATTTCTCAGTATTTAGATTTGTATATCTCTCCATACTCATCCTGTATTACCTTACTAAGAAAGATGGCATAGCTAGTCTGGGAGATTATAAAAGGGGCTTTAATATTTTATGAGCTGTTACCAACCCCTGTGCTAAAATACCATGAGTCTTAAGATCTCTACAAGGCTTTTACAAAGCAATTCATCTCTTCATAAATATCTTATGAAAGAAAATTTAGAGCCCTCTATTTTAAAAAATCTTTCTTGCTTTGCATAAAACTCTAAAATTTTAATTTCAAAGTTATATTGATATTAAAACATAAATTCAGTCTTGTCTTAAAAGTGTATTACAATTTATTTCTTGCCATTTTTGTGTAAAATTTGCAGAAACAGTGTTACAGCGTGCGCTCCAAAGGTAATGTCTCATTCCTCTAAGGCTTGCTCACTCTCTCCCCTTCCCCCTCTGCCTTTGTTTCTTTAATCCTAATGTTACATGTATTGAAACATTTTAAGGAAAAAAGCTTTCTAATTGTTCTGTGTAGCAGCAATCTATGTAAGACAAGGATGTTCATTGCTTATGGTTAACCTAGACAATGCAGTTTCATTTCAGTAGCTCTTGTATGCTTCATGGCGCTGTTTTACATTAGGATTTTAGGAGCTGGTACAGTCCAGAAGCTGCTCAGGGGATGGCATAAGTGTAGTTCAGTTTTTAGAACAACAGCAAAGTTTTTAGTTTCCAGAGTTTGTGGTTTAAGTGACCCTTGCAGTAACTGTCTTAGGTAGATTCAGGGGTATGAGAGACTGGGAGAAACAGAAATATCTGAGCACTGAAGCTTTATAATTTTATTTGTGTTTTTGTGTTTGTTTCTCCTTTGCTCTGGTCTTCTCAGTCTTAATTTACTGCATCTATATCACTGCCATGAATGGTACCATTGAGAGTGTTGAATATAGTAAAGAACTGGTGGGCAGGGTTTCTCTGTACGTTTTAGTAGACTTGGCCAAGCACATGGTCTCTCCTGCCTTTCTGTTACCCTTGTTGGGTGTTAACTGTTGTTTGTTCTGTCAGCATAGTTCCAGTGAGCCTGCCCTACAGTGAATCCTGGAATTTGTACGCTCAGGTCCAGAGAGTTCCTTCTTTTGTGCGTGAAATATTTCCTATGTACTTGCTGTGTATTCTATCCCAGCGAAGCTGCAAGTTGATATTTCTGTACCTGAATTGCAGGTGCCAGTAAGTTAAATGATTCATTTTGATTTGGACAGTGAACAGATTGAAAGGTGTCCTCTATTTAGTGCACTAGGTACATTGTTTATTGGGACATTTTCATTTGAATTGAAAACAAAACTAGGGACTGATGTACAGTGTCAGTCAGTGGTTGAGTGTGTGCTTAGCACACATGAGGGACCTGAGTTCATTCTCAACTTGAGACAAGTTATCTGTCTGTCTCAAGCTTGAATGCCCTAAGAGCATTCTTCCATCCTCAGGTGGTCTGAGTGTGTGTTGCTGCAGCCAGCTAGACTCTATTTCCTTTAGGGTTGCCTTATGTGGTGGTTACAGCATTTGTTAGCTAAGGTGGCAGCTGAATTGGAACTTTGTCTGCTAGAAAAATCTGTGAGCTCTTCTGAGTGAGGCCCAAGAGAGGAAGAACACATCTAGTCAATAAACAGCCATGTGGTTTTTATCTTCTGCTTGGCAGAACAGTTTTATCTTTCTGGGAGTACCTTTACCCCTTCTCATAAGGGGTTTCTGTCTAGCTCATGTCTTAGTTTCTGCTTTGGTAGAGTTGTATAATGCTGGAAGCATTTTTGTTTTAAAGTTGTTGTCTACCATGACTTCTGGATGCTCGCTTCATAGTGTCTGTGGCTCACCAGTTTGTTAGATTTTCTTTTATTTCTTCCCCCATGTCCCCCTTTTTTAAAGCCTGTTTTTATTTTTTAAATTATACTGGTTTGAAATTCTACTCAACTTTCTAAGAAATATTTGAGACTTGTGACTTTAAAACTCAAAACTTCATTTAAAGTTCTGAGACTTAAGTTGACATTTAAAGTTTTAAGTTAAATACTATCTATGTAGTCTTCATACAGAACTGGATATTCTTAAAGTATAAGCGTTACAGTCTCTTGTACAATAATGTTTTTTACATTGTTGTAAAGGTTAACTTGTTCTGTTCATGTGTCTCAGAATGGCATTAAAATGTATATGGGTTTTTCTTTATATAAGTGACTGTTTTAATATGGCCTGAAAGTCTAGTGACCTTGTCTTTATCATCTGGTTTTCATCCTTAGTAATTAAGGTTCTGGCAGTCTAATACTGAGCTAGCTACCCACTTTTGAATTTTTGCATTACAATTCACATTGTAAAGATCTTTGAAAATGTTATGGGAAAACAAACTTGGGTTCAAAATACCTTAACCAAGTGTACCCCACAGATGTCCCAACAGTGACAGTGGGGCGTCTACAGAGCAGCTGGGGAAGGGGCTGTTTTCTGGGCCACGGAAATCGAAGGAAGATGTCAATAATACACCTTCATTTTTCATTTGTTGTGAAGGGCATCAGCAGTTTGAAAGTCCCTCCCTGTTGCGTTTTTAAAATGTGAGTTGCCAAGCTTCACCTTGAGTGAAGGAAGAGCGGAAAGGTCTGCAGAGAGGTCTCAGAGGCTCCTCCTTTGCTTGCCTTAATGAAGAGTATGCAGACTGTCTCAGTCTTAAGTAACAAATAATATCCCAGTGGCTGTGTGGCCAGTGCTGTCACTTCTCCACCTGGGCAGTGGCTTCCTCCTTGCATCACTCTGCTGGGAATTTTTTTAATGTTTGTTTTTGTTGCCATTATTGTTTCTGGTTTGAGAGTAAGTTTAATTTCAGTGTATATGCTTTACGTTTCTTTCTATAACTCAAACCTATTTCATGCACTCTAATAGAGTTGGTTTTATAACTCATTGTAGTCTAGTTTTTAAATTAGTAAAATGGCTACAGTTGGTGTTTGGGGGTCTTTAAGGTTGGATATGTATTATGCTTAACATTTTTCTGTCTTTTATCTTCTTTGTTCACTACATGCTGTGTTTAAACCCTCTGCTTTCTTCATCTGAATACGTCATTTTTGATACCATCTTTGTGTTGATGTTTATTGTACAGAACTACAAAGCCTGCTCCACACCTGGACGGGTAAGCATCAAGTTGTTAAAATCTCAGAGTTATTTAATGAACCTGAAAGACTTGCTGGTCTGGGTTATTCTTTTGTAGTCAAGCTCTTCCTAAAGGGTCACAGGGTATAGGAGTTTTGAGAGCCTGTCTCATTTTTGTTCATGGGTGGGCTTCTCAACCATGTGGTTTTGAGTGTACCTGTTGAGATGGCTTCTCAGTATGAAGTGTCCTCTCTTACCAGATTCTTAACCCTAAAAAGGCTAGCAACCACTGCAATAATAACAGCAGAAACTGAGTCCCACCTAGTCTTTAGGTGAACTGTCTGTTTCCTGTTATGAAGTAGATTTCAAGCTGTCATTCCTTCTACTTGGTTCTTGACACTGGATTTGTTTCGAGTCCTGTGGGTAGATATTTTTTACAGCAGTTGTCCCAATTATGTTTATAACGTAATTATTACCAGACTAATTTATTTCTTGGATTTATATTATGACAGGGTTCATGTTGTCTTTGGACTGGTTATATCTGGTTTTGAAGTAATTGAACAGATTGAAAATCTGAAAACGGATGCTGCAAGCAGACCTTATGCTGATGTCCGAGTTATTGACTGTGGGGTGCTTGCCACAAAATTGACAAAAGATGGTAAGAGCCTTTGGAGGGTGGGGGTCTAGGACAGAGAGGTATAAAGCATGTGTGGATAGTGGGAGCATTGGCAGGTGCGTCTGTGCTGTGTCCCCTCCACCAGCAGGTGTTGCCTGCTGATCCAAGCCCTCTCCTGCCTGAATTACTGCAGTACCCCCAGAGATGCCCACCTCAGCGCTCTCCCTGTCTTCCTGTGATCATTTATCAGCAGGAGTGTCCCCACTGGTTTCCTCCTTACGCCCTTGTTTTACTCTGGTTTGTCTTCAGGAGCTACCAGAGTGATTCTCTTAAGGCACACATAATCCACATCCCTCCTGCACAGACACCTACAGTGGTACTCTCAGCACAGATGCCAGTAGCTCTCTGTTGTCTTTCTGACTTTTTCCTGTACTCATTGCCTTCCAGCTACACTAGTGTCTACTCAGACATGAGGGGACTCTGTGCCTGCCCTCATGTATAGAGCAACCTTTGTTCTATATGTTCTATATGAGGTGTCTGTGTGACCTCTCCCTAGTTTGAGTCTCTGTTCCAGTCTAATCTTAAGCTACCGTATCTCTGTGTTCCCTTGACATTTGTTTATTCTGTCTTAGCTTTCATTCCTTGTCACACTTACTTAAAATATAGACTTCATGTTGGATAAGGGCTTGGGCATTATACATAACTGGGGAACAGTTTAGTTGAGTCTTGTTTTAGTGTTCTATTTATAAAGCAATTATATGACAGTCAGCAGTCACATTTTTTCACTCTAGATGGTGTGTACTGGGCTCAAGTACTGATTTTTTTTTTTTTAATATCTATTAAAAGTTTTTGAGAAAAAAAGGAAGAAACCGACACATTCAGAAGACTCGGACTCTTCTTCCAATTCCTCTTCCTCTTCAGAATCATCCTCAGAAAGTGAAGTTGAACGAGAGAGAATCAGGAGGAGGAGACATAAGAGGAGGCCAAAAGTCAGACATACTAAAAAGAGACGGAAAGAAATGAGCAGTTCAGAAGAAGCGAGGAGGAAGCGCACAGTAAGCCCTGAAGGGTATGTACAAGTCGGCGCTGGCCCAGCACACAGCACCCAGCCCACAGCCCACAGCCCACAGCACCCAGCCCACAGCACCCAGCCCACAGCTCACAGCCCCCAGCCCCCAGCACCCAGCACGCAGCACGCAGCACACAGCACAGCCTGCAGCCCAGGCACAGGGACCCTGTGAGTGCAGCACTCTGACTGCTTGTAGAGGCGAGGCGCACTGGGCGTTACACTGACTGACACCTGTGATACGGTAGGCGTGGCCTAGGCATCAGTTGGTATGGTTTTCAGGTGAAGATAATTCTTGAAATTCTTTTTGTTTTAAAGTTTTTTGTTTTGTGTATTCAAAGATATGTGTAATATTCCATGTGTGGCAATCAGAAGACAGCTTGCAGTTGTTTCTTTCTTTCTCCCAGATAGGTCTTTTGTCAACAAAGGCTTGTGGTTATTGAACCATCTTGCCAGCCCTAATGCCTGAAAATTCTTTCTCTCATGTGTGTTTATCTTTTTAAATTACTTTTTAAAATGTTATATGCATTAATATTTTACTTGCATGTATGCCTGTGTGAGGGTGACAGATCTTGGAGTTACAGACAGTTGTGAGCTACTGTGTGGGTGCTCGTAATTGAACTCGGGTCCCCTAGAAGAGCAGTCAGTGCTCTTAACTGATGAGCCATCTCTCCAGTCCCTGAAAAGTCTTTCTCTTAAAATACAGTATTTTTTACTTTGAGAATTTCACTCATGTCTACAAAGTAATGTGATCCTTCACCTCCTAACACCTCCTTTGAATTCCCCTTCCCGCTACGTCCCCCTCCTCTTTGTATGTTTTTCTTTCAACAACCTACTTAACCTACTTAATGTGCAGAGGTACAGGGACACCCTATGGAGCATAGGCAGGGTCTGCACCCCTGAAGAACATGATTTTCCCTAAAGCAAAACTTGGGCCATTGAGCTGGCTCAGGGACTTCTCACCAGGCCTGGCAAGTTGGATTTGATTCCTGGAATACATGTGGTGAAGAGAGAGCTATCTCCCACAAGTAGTTGTCTCACATCTACATGATGGTATGTGCACAGTAGCACACAAGGAAGTAGACAGACAGATAAATGCGTTTTTAAAGAAGGAAAACATAAAGATCATTGACATCTTCCATTTCAGAATTGTAGCACTCGAGTTTTTTTCTTTTTTTAATTTTTCTTTTTAAAAATTTCTTAGCTCGGGAGTTTTTACTGTTGATGTTTCATATATCTGTGAAATACGTAAGGTTAAGGTGAGGTGAATGAGGGTGAGTTTTCATATATCTGTGAAATACGTAAGGTTAAGGTGAGGTGAATGAGGGTGAGTGTAAGTTTTGCTCGTGCCTTCATTTTATAAAATACTAGCATTAACATCTAAATTGGTGATTTGATTTATTTTAGTTATTCTGAGAGGAGTGATGTGAATGAAAAAAGATCAGGTGACTCAAACGCCAAAAGAGAAAAGCCTGTTGTCCGCCCGGAAGAGATTCCTCCAGTTCCTGAGAACCGATTTTTACTTAGAAGAGATATGCCTGCTATCGCTGTGGAGCCTGAACAGTAAGTAGGCTGATGGCTGTGTTCCTCTTCTCTATACTGTGTCCAGTACCTAACAAAAGCACCATGCTCGTGGTTTCATTTCAGAGGGGATACTATGGAGCAGCCCACAGCACAGAGGACAAGAAGTGGGGTGTATGTGTGTGTTCATTCGGCTGGCTTTCTTCTTCCTCTTTTAATCTGTACTGGCACTAGCACACGGGATGGTTAGTATGCTCAGTCTTGTAGGGATTGGATATCTAGTCAAGTTGACAGTGATGGTTAGCTATCATACTGTATATTTTATCTCTCTGATGGATAAGTCTATCAGTTCATTGCAGCTCTACACTCATTCCCCACGACTCATGCTCAGAGCATGCAGAACAAACGATGTCATTGTTATTCACTAGACGAAGGAATGGCATGTACCTCCCTTTCAGAATCCACACTTGAATACTTGAATAGGTAAAGGAAATTGGGCAACTTAATAAAAAAGGGTGTGTTTTGTTGTTTTGGTTTGTGTTTTTTGTCTGCTTATTTTTCAAGACAGGATCTTGCTATGTGTCTCAGGTTAGCCTTGAACTTGGAATCCTTCTGCTTTATCCTTTAGAGTATTAGGGTTCCAGATATGTATCTGCTGCCACATATGACAGAGAGGGAAGTGCTTATTAGAGGTCAGGGAAAGTTGTGTTACTGATCTTACTGCACTGGCCTTTTGTTAAAGGGATGAGTCTTTTCAGAATGGGTTATCAGGTTCCTTGACCTCTGTGGATCCAACTGAATAGTGAAATCAGTTTCAGTTTCAATAGTGCAAAGTTAATTACATGCTAACGAGAGATACAATTTAGTATCATAAATATTACTGTAGTTTTCCTGAATTGTGGCTTGAGATTTAGTCTCAGAAAATACTATTTAATGTACTTTGTATGTTAGAGTTAAATTCAGAAATATTAAAAGGACAGAAGGCAGGAATGGTAGCATATGCATGTTGCCCTAGCAACGGCTAAGACTGTTTGACTGAGGATTGATGTTCATCATGGACATCATAACAAGGTCTAGTCTCGAAAGAGGGGGGTGGAGGGGAGGGGAGAGGAGTGTGCTGTTTGAGCAGAATTGCGTCAGCGTGTGGTGTAACTTGTTTATTCCTGGGAGGAGTTACTTAGAAAGCCACGATGTCAAACGAGCTGTGCCCAGCCCAGCCCTTCAACAGTTTGTTGTTTTTTCTTTGCTTGTTTACTTTTGAGACAGGCTCTTGTCATATAACCTAGACTGGCACTGAACTCCCTCACATGCTGCCATTACAAGTGTGTGTTGATGCCCTTGGCGGCTTCCTCTACAAACTTTCATTTACAAAAATGCAAAATAAAGTAATAAAAAAAACCCTTTATTTTTCTTCCAAATACATATTTGATAATGGGATGAATGGAATTTTCCTGGAGCAGGATAATTCCGTCTAGAGTTCAAGTTAGTGTTCTCTGTTACAACAGTTGTCAGAGCTATAAGATGACAGTCTGCAGTGAGAATTCACACACCTCTTCTTTGCAAAGTCATGTGTGTAGCATGTGAAGTGATAGTCGTGTCTGTATGTGGTGATGTGTTGGTGTGTGGATGATGTGGCTGTGCCCATGAAACTTTATGGATGTTGACATTTGAATTTCATGTAATTTTATGTCATGAAATAGGAAATCTGGTATTGTGAAGACTGTAGCTGTGCACTTGAATGTTGAGAATATGTTCTGGTTCTTGCATGTTTTTTTGTTTTGTTTATTTATTTATTTATTTATCTTATTTATGAGTACACTGTCGCTGTCTTCGGACACACCAGCATAGGGCATCCAATCTCATTTCGGATGGTTGTGAGCCACCATGTGGTTGCTGGGATTTGAACTCCCGACCTCTGGAAGAGCAGTCAGTGCTCTTAACCGCTGAGCCATCTCACCAGCCCCTCTTGCATGTTTTTAATTGTCATCACAAACTCTTTCAGGAACATTCCAGACGTTGCACCTGTTGTAAATGATCAGAAGCCATCTGTATCAAAGTCTGGACGGAAAATCAAAGGAAGGGGCACAATTGTACGTATGTTAAAACTTTCTTCTTTCAAATTGTTTACCTAAATATTAACTTTTTAACATTTTATTTTAAAAGTCAGAGGTTTAGTTTTAGATGGGATATTCTTCTTGTTCAAGGAATTGTTTTTATTTCCCAGAGTTTTAGAAAGGTACTGCCATTGGTAGGTACAGCTGTGGATGAATTTAATTACTCTGTGATATAATCCATGAAATAGTATTTTATTGAGAAATTTTGGTCTCTGAGTAATGGTAGCTAATGAATGTGTTAGTACTACACAGGAAACTTCTGGATTCCAGTCAAATGTCTTGCCTCTTTTGTGTTTCTTCATGTCTTGTATTTAAAATAACTTCCTACGTTTCTAAGTAGATACTCAAATCGATGCCCTTATTAGATCTTTTTGCCTGACTCTGTCCTACTACAAGAGGTATTTTTAGAACAGTTACTACCCTCTCTGTGTTTAAAGCGATATCACACACCTCCAAGGTCAAGATCCCACTCTGAGTCGGAAGACGATGACAGCAGCGAAACCCCTCCTCACTGGAAGGAGGAGATGCAGAGACTGAGAGCCTACAGGCCGCCGAGCGGAGAGAAGTGGAGCAAAGGAGACAAGTAAGAGAGGCTCACACCTGGAGTGTGAGCACAGCCTGGAGCAGAGCGCTCGATGCTGGACTCACTGCCTGACATCCGCCAGTAGGAGCAGCACTGCTGCCGCTGAGACAAGGCACTTCAGTCAGGTGCTGGCTGCTTCCTTTTGCTGAGAGTTTGAATGGACTCTCAGTTGCAGAAGTGACCAGGTCTCAGGCACTGTGTCTGACTTGACAGATACCTTACTCACAGGTGTGTGGATTGGTAAATAGGAGAGCCCACTAAGCATGGGAGTTCAATTCTGACTCCACAGACTGTTGTATCTAGACATGTTGAGGAACATGTTTAGATAAGTGGTTCCTTACAATGTCCAATGTCTGTTTCTAAAGGGTACCGGCTCCAGAATAAAGAAAAGCCAGCTTTTTATCCAGGCCTAATGGTACTATAATCCCAGTACTGGGGAGGTTGATGCCAGGCTGGATACATAATAAGTTCCAGGCCATGCTAGGCCAATAACAGGATCCTGTCTTTACAGAAAGAAAGGGACTAGGAAGGTAGTAGTTGGTAAAGTGCTTGCCTTGCAAGCGAGAGGACCCCAGACTGTCCATGCAAAGCTAGGTGTAGCAGCAAGCACCTATAATCCCAGTGCTGGAGGATCCTTGGGGCTTGCTGGGTAGCTGTCTACTGATGAACCTGAGGCCAATGAGAATGCTTTCAGAGAAATTAGTGTTCTTAAGAATGACACCTGAGCCGCCCTCTGCACATGTGCACATGTGTGTACTTGCACACATACAAGCATATATGTGTACATGAATTATTTAAAAAGAAATAAGAAAGCTGAGTCAAGGCTAGGCATCTAGCTCTGTAGTAGAGTGATTGCTTAGCATGCATAAGGTTCTGAGTGTGATGCCCAGTACCACAGAAACAAGTAATTCATCAGCAAGATTGCTTGGAGCCTGGCTTTCACTCTCACAGAAATTGCTCTTAGAAGGTTGTTAGTAGCTGATATTGTGCGAGCTGTGTGTCTCCACAGAACTACTGGTTAGTTGGTATAGTTTTCACAAACATTTATTAGAGTCTTTGCTTCACTTAAAAACAAGGATTTTGTGGGGCAGTGGTGGCGCACGCCTTTAATCCCAGCACTTGGGAGGCAGAGGCAGGCGGATTTCTGAGTTTGAGGCCAGACTGGTCTACAAAGTGAGTTCCAGGACAGCCAGGGCTACGTAGAGAAACCCTGTCTTGAAAAACCAAAACCAAAACAAACAAACAAAAAACAAGGATCTTGGGACTGGAAAGATGGCTGAGCAGTTAAGAGCTTAGCTACTCTTCTAGAGAACCTGTGTTTAATTCCCAGCCCCACATGGCAGTTCACAACTGTCTGTAACGTCAGTAACAGAGGATCTGACACCCTTACACAGACAAAACACCAGTGTTCATGAAACGAAAATAAATTAAAATAAAAACAAACAAAAAAACAAGGGTCTTTTGTGAGTTTACTAATAGTTGTCATCGTTCTGGTTTATGTTAGTTAAAGTGTTGATGGATTTGGGTACTCCATAATCAGTTAAAAATGTGTTTTTAAGACACAGAGTGCTCACAAATAACCACATGCATGCTATGCTCCTCCACTTACAGGCTAAGTGATCCCTGCTCAAGCCGGTGGGATGAAAGAAGCTTGTCCCAGAGATCCAGGTCCTGGTCCTATAATGGATACTATTCAGATCTTAGTACAGCAAGACACTCTGATGGTCACCACAAAAAACGCAGAAAGGAAAAGAAGTTTAAGCATAAAAAAAAAGCTAAAAAGCAGAAACATTGCAGAAGACACAGACAGACAAAGAAGAGAAGAATAGTTATGCCACCTGATTTGGAACCCTCAAGATCTCCCACCCACCGAATGAAGTCCTCCTGTGTTAGAGAAAGAAGATCTCGTGCCTCCTCCTCCTCCTCTCATCGCTCATCAAAGCGGGACTGGTCTAAATCAGACCAGGATGACCGGAGCGCTTCCACCCATTCTAGCAGAGACTCCTACAGATCCAAGTCTCGTTCACGGTCAGATTCTAGAGGGAGCTCTAGATCAAGGGCTATGTCAAAGTCCTCCTCTCGTTCTCGCAATAGATCAAAATCTAGATCTAGTTCCAGGTCAGGGCCCCGAAGAACAACCTCAATATCCCCCAAAAAACCTGCTCAGCTGAGTGAAAATAAGCCAGTTAAGACAGAGCCTTTAAGGTCATCGATGCCACAGAATGGAAATGTGCTAGTACAGTCAGTGACAGCAGAAAACATTCCTGTAATACCATTGAGTGACAGCCCTCCCCCTTCTAGGTGGAAGCCTGGACAGAAGCCCTGGAAGCCCTCCTATGAGCGAATTCAGGAGATGAAAGCTAAAACAACCCATTTGCTGCCTGTCCAAAACACATACAGTTTAACAAATATTAAAGCAACCATGAGTTGTTCATCTTATCACAAAAGAGAAAAACCTTCAGAAAGTGATGGGAGTGCTTATTCAAAGTACAGTGATAGAAGTTCTAGAAGCTCGGGAAGGTCAAGGAGCAAGTCCTCGAGGAGCAGGTCATCCTCCAGGTCATATACAAGGTCAAGGTCCCGAAGTCTCCCTACTTCACGCTCGCTCTCTAGGTCTCCGTCATCTAGGTCTCACTCACCAAATAAGTACAGTGATGGTTCCCAGCGCAGTAGGTCATCTTCATACACTTCTGTTAGCAGTGATGATGGAAGACGAGCCAGATTTAGATCCAGCAGGAAAAAAAGTGTCACTTCAAATAAAAGACAGCGCAGTAGCTCTGAAAAGACACTTCACAGTAAATATGTCAAAGGCAGAGAGAAGTCTTCGTGTCACAGAAAGTACAGTGAAAGCAGATCATCTTTAGATTACTCTTCAGACAGTGAACAGTCTCATGTTCAAGGAGTGCACTCAGCCCCAGAGAAGGAGAAGCAGGGCAAAGTAAAAGGATTGAATGATAAGCAGGGGAAAGGCAGAGAAGAAGGAAAATCCAAGCCTGAATGGGAATGTCCTCATTCTAAAAAGAGAACTCTGAAAGATGATCTTCCTGATCACTCTAGAGACAACAGTGTGTCCAGAGGGAAGAATTGTGCTGGGAGTAAATGGGACTCTGAATCAAACTCAGAACAAGATGTGACTAAGAGCAGGAAAAGTGATCCCCGGAGAAGTTCTGATAAGGAGGAGGGTGAAGCCTCTTCAGACTCCGAGTCAGAAGTTGGCCAGAGTCACATCAAAGCCAAACCCCCAGCAAAGCCTCCAACAAACACTTTTCTGCCTGGCAGCGATGGTGCCTGGAAGTCTAGGAGACCACGGTCTTCAGCCTCTGAGTCAGAGAGCTCCTGCTCCAACTTGGGGAACACTAGAGTCGAGCCCCAGAAGCAAAAACACCCAAAGGATAGTCTTAAAGGGGATCACACAAAAAGGGTAAGAGAGAAATCAAAAGCCAAAAAAGATAAAAAACACAAGGCTCCAAAACGGAAGCAAGCTTTTCACTGGCAACCTCCACTCGAGTTTGGTGAGGAGGAAGAGGAGGAGGTGAGTGGAAAGCAAGTTACGCAGGACCCAAAAGAGAAAAAGCATGTCTCTGAGAAGTGTGAAGCTGTGAAAGACAGTACTCCAAAAGTCAACAAAACCTGTGAGGAAGGCAGCTGTCCAAGTAAACCCAAGACGGTTACTTTAGAGCATGACCCACTTGCAGAGGGGGACTGTGATCCCAGTTCCTGCCCAGCACCTCTGAAAGTGGAGGAAAACACTACAAGCTCTCCACCCAGCACCCAGCATCTTGAAGAGCATGTCCCAGGTGGAGGGGAGGACGTGCTTCAGACAGATGACAACATGGAGATCTGTACCCCTGATAGGACTTCCCCTGAAAAGGGAGAGGGGGTATCCCCTTTAGCAAATCACAGGCTAGACAGCCCAGAGGTGCGCATTATTCCAGAGCAGGATGAGCATATGGCACATCCTGTAGCAGGGGGGGAGCAAGAGAGTGGCGTGTCTGAAAGCAGGGCCTTGGGTGAAAGTGGGGTTAAACAGAACAGCTCTACCAGCTTAACCAGTCCTGTAGAAGTTACTGGAAAGAAGGAGGGGGCTGAGAAGAGCCAGATGAACCTCACAGATAAGTGGAAGCCATTGCAAGGTGTAGGGAATCTGGCAGTGTCTGCTGCAACCACATCCAGTGCTCTGGATATGAAGGCATTATCTGCTGTGCCTGAAGTGAAACCACAAGGCTTGAGGATAGAAATCAAAAGCAAAAATAAAGTTCGGCCTGGGTCTCTCTTTGATGAAGTAAGAAAGACAGCACGCCTAAATCGGAGGCCACGGAATCAAGAGAGTTCCAGTGATGAGCAGACACCTAGTCGAGATGGTGATAGCCAGTCCAGGAGTCCACACAGGTCTCGAAGTAAATCTGAAACCAAATCTCGACACAGAACAAGGTCTGTCTCGTACAGTCACTCACGAAGTCGATCTAGAAGTTCCACTTCATCTTACCGGTAAGAAATAGTCTCTTTTCTCTTTTACCCCCGAGGAGAGCCTGCTGTTATTTAGCTCAGAAAAACATGAGCCTTAGAAGTGTGATCACTGTTTGCAGATATCTGACAAGGGAGTAAGAAGCAGTGTTCCATATGACCAAAACCACTGAAAGAGGACAGAGACAGGGAGTGGGCATGTCAGGACAAGAAATCCACTCAGCTGAGAAGACCTGCCGTTTTCTCACTTGGAGAGTGAAAGCTCTCTTGCCATGACGGGGGCGAATTCTCTGTATTCAAAGTTGTGAAGTAGCTGGCCTTCTTGTGCAGGTTTCCATGCCTTTTCATAGAATCCTTTGAGCAGACTACGTAGATGATTGACCTTACTACCCTTTACACATGTAAAAGGTACACGCCATCCATGGAGCCAAAGTTGCTGTTCAAGGCACACATCTAAGTTGAGCTTTGTGATCGTATTGAAATTTTTGTCAGGAGACCTATCCAGCATTTGTCATCAGGAAATTTGTCTTCTGAGTACAAAGAATGATAGTGAAAGCTAAGAAAAGGGGTTCCCAGTAACAGAAAGTCAATAAGTAGTTGTGTTCACAAGCATGTACATATGCCTGTTGCGGTCTTTCATGACTTACTTCATTGATTAAACCATGGTGGCTTCTGGATTGCTTGCTTTGCAGTACATGACCATGTCCAGTGAGCAGAAACCTTACCCTGCTTGTGCTCCCCTCCTGCCCTGTCATCCCAACAGTGTGGGGACTGCACATAGTATATGCTTTCTCACTCACTCCATTGTAGATCAAGAAGCTACTCGAGAAGCCGGAGCAGGGGCTGGTATAGCAGAGGCCGAACCCGTAGCCGGAGCAGTTCCTATGAAAGTTTCCATAGCCACAGGTGAGCTTGTGGTCTCACCCTGCCAGTCACTCAAATGGACCACTTCAGGGACACAGCAGAACAGCTGTTGATCTGTCCTTATCAATACCACCCTGAACTGTTTCTCATCCAGCTCTCTGAGAGCTCTGGAATTCTGCCTGGCTGTTCCCTGATAAGGTCTTAGCAGAGTAAGGCAAAGAAGCAGTCGAATTGAGAGGCCATGCCACTCCTACCTGCTCTGTGCATAGATGTCACTGAGGTCACAAGCACAGTCACCTCTTCTTGACCTACTTAGGGGCTATGACACTGTATAGCAAGGAAACCAAGAGGAAAGTGAGTGTTGGAACAAGGATTTCTATCTCCCTGCTGCTGCTCTCTTTGGCCTTGTGGTATTTTTTGCTGTGACCACTGGTATAAGTGGGCCTTCTCCCTTCCAATGGAATACAAAGGTTTTAAAAAGGAATTCCAATACACTTGAGATAAACACAAAATAGTTATGGCATTTCACTTTATTTTCACTTTGATGGGCAAAAATGTCTAGCTTGTTACTGTAGTCTGAGCTCTAATACACAAGGTGATAGCCCTCTGTGCTCCACACTAGGACGTCCAGCAGGAGCCGGTCCAGGAGCAGCTCCTATGACCCTCACAGCCGCTCCAGGTAAGTGCTGCTGGGAGGCCCTAGAGTGCTGGGTGGGCTTGGCTTGTGCTGCTGGGAGTGATCCGAGGGCTCAGGCATAAACCACAGGACATCTACTGCCATGGAGCTTAGTCCTTAGCCTAAGTGTTCTGTTTTTAAATAAATAACTTTAATGCATATGTTTGTCTTCTAAAATCACACAATACAAAAAAGATCTTTATCCGTTGACCCATTGTGCTCCAATCAGAAATGACAGTATCCAATTGTAATGGCAGATGGTTGTGAATACAATTGCCCGATAAAATTGAGATTCAGTCACACTAACTCCATGTTAATTTTGTGATATTTTTCAGTATAGAAAAGAAATTAACATTTTTTTTCTCTTTAACTTGGTAAGTCCAGTTGGGTGCAATTGCTGGATGTTCCTAGAACTTCTTATGCAACTGTCCTCACAGCTCTGTAGAGTACCCATCTGAGCCAGCACCCTTTGATGGCCCTAAAAAACAGCCTTTCCGTATTTGAATGGAACACTGTGTGTCCTTGCTATTTAAGCAGATCCTACACCTACGATAGCTACTATAGCCGGAGTCGCAGCCGCAGCCGCAGCCAGAGGAGTGACAGTTACCATCGGGGTAGAAGTTACAACAGGCGGTCCAGGTTGGTCCCTGGGTTAGAGCACTGGGAGTGATGGGGCACTTGGTGTGGGTGGGCCCTCAGTGGAACACCTTCTCTTTTCATTGGCCTACAGACAGCTATTAAACATGGCCTTGGTACTGTGAGTTGGCAGGTGGTAGTTACTGGTTATTGTTTTATAGTTGACACTAAAATGGGTTTTATTCACGTAGCTTTGAGTAAACATTTCTTTTGGAAGGAAGGAGAAGACCAAATCATGGCTCATATCTGGAAGTCAGGCTAATTTATTGAAACAGCCAGTCTGTCGTTTTATTAAAATTGTCTCAGCAGCAGGGTTGAATCCTATATCTTGTCATTTATTTAATAAGATGTAACCTGACTACCATGACTCTTATATTGTCTCTTGCTGATGGCCTGTCACTCTTCCTTATCCATTGCAAGCCCAGAAAACTTGGTACAGTGTACATGGATACCCCTTTGATTGAACTGTCTCAGGGGCTGCTAGCACGTGAACCCCTCCACTTGTAGCTCCAGCTTCAACTCTTTCCGACTTCTTTCTCTAATGTTCTAGAGCTTTCCTTCTGCCCAGAAACCCAAGTGCCATCTCCATCACTTGTCTTTGTGTTCTGAAGTGATCACTTAACTCCCAGCCCCTAGACCCCGTTTCTTATATTCTCTACTGCAGCCCATTGCCCTGGGGATACCCCACCTCCAACCCTCTAACCCTGGGACCCTGGGGTTCTCAGTGAGTGAACTTGCCTGTCCACTGTCTTGAGCTGTTCTTGAGCCCTGTACTTGGTCTGCTTGTTGTGGTGGGATGATGCTTACTGTAACAAGTTGACCAGCTCTCAGAACAGATTTTTAAATGGGCTGAGTGACCACCCTAACCAAGGCCACACCCACTTCAGTGAGACTGCTTTTAACCCTTCCTGCTTCAGTCTAGTCTCAGATTGACAGTTACTGGGTGTGGTAGAAAAATTGTTTGCTCATTTTTTATGAAAGGATTTCAAGTAAAATTCCCACTCTTGTGAGATTTATTGTTAACCTTCATTTTACTACCATTTGCCATTTAAAACATCCTTGAAAAACCCATAGTGTTGCCATAGTTGACGGCATTTTTGTTTTGTTCTTTTACGCAGGAGTGGTAGATCCTATGGCTCAGACAGTGAAAGTGACAGAAGTTACTCTCATCACCGGAGCCCCAGTGAGAGCAGCAGATACAGCTGAGGTGTCTCTGTACAGATTGTGTCTTAACTGTAAATACCTGGTAACTTAAAGCTTAAGAAACTGGATGGTAGTCTGTTGTGTTTTAGTATTAGACCTCAGTCCAATAGTGGATATTTCTTGTCACATGTGCTCAGAAGAATTTACAGTGCAGATGCCCCTAGAAATATTTTTATGCCCCATTTTACAGTAGGCAACTATAAAATTTTCATTTTCTTGAATCAAGAAATGGTAAATTTGATGTAAGTATAATTTGCAGTATTACTGTAGATAGGGTTTTCTGTAGATTACATTGTCTGTAGAATTTGGGGTTTCTTTTTGTTTCAGGTTTTAGCATCTATGCTCCCAAACAGAATTGTGGAGAGCTGTCAAAAGACACATGTTCCCCATGTCCCCATGTCAGTTGGCTTCTTGGTGTGTGCTGTCAGATCAGGCTATCCACATCCATATTGACTATGGCCAGGCGTGCAGGGTGGTAGCTCATGCCACTGCGTCTGCAGCAGTCCATCCCAGCTGTGAACACCCACACTGTCTAAGGGCTCTGCTTTTTCATAGTGAATGCCAGAAGCTCAGATAATGACCGTGTTGCCACCCCAGCTCCTACTTTGGTGCTCGGTGCCTTTGGTTCCTCATATACCCTATGTCATATCTTCATATACTGCATTTCGTGAATTCTTTTTTTTTAAATTCACTGGTACCAAAAATTATTTCTTCTGAGCTGGGTTCACTATGAGTGTAGGGGCTTCTTCCAAACACAGATATATATATATGGTGGAGGTCCCTGGGAACAGAACCTGTAAGGCTGGTCATCTTTTGCACATGTGTGCTAAAGAGCTACCTGAAGAATGGACTTCAGAAGCAACTCCACAGTCTTTAAGTACTACATCCTAGAGACACTTGGGCCAAGCTTTTCTCTCACTGTGGCAACAGTAGCAGCTCTGCCCCAACCATCCTTTTCCCTGTTAGTGTTGAGACGCACCCTCACTGCCACCAACTCCATGAAGGAAACCCAGGACAAAAGTTGGGAGCAGCAAGGTCACAGGCTCTGCTGCACATATAGGTGTTCTTACGTCTTTGTGTGGCTCCTCCAGGAAGAATCTGACCTGTAAAAACTAGTGTGGGTTTATTTCTTTGTTTTACTCTTTAGTTTGCATTCTTTCCCCAAGTGTACTTAATCACCTTAGTGCCAGTTTAGTCCAGTTCACAGAATTCCTGTCAGGTATATGGTGTAGAAGTCTATACCATCCTATCCCACCCAGGCCTTGCTGGTGTATGTGGGAAGAGAAAAAGCCTTGGGCTGGAGGATCTTACTAAAGCCCTGACCAGATGGAGGGGAGGTATGAAAATAGTCTTCCAGGGCCATGTGGCTCAGTGATATATAGCATGTGCTTAGCATGTAAGTAGCTCTGGGTTCAAAGATCAGCACCTCACAAATAATGCTGTTGCTCTATGATGTATGTAAACAGCATTTTGGTGGCCAGCCAGCTGTTGTTCACCATGTCTGTAAATTAGTTAATTAGAAAGAAGGGTAACATCAGAACTCAGTGCTTGGTCAGTTTATCGTGAGTGGTTCCCTCCCTTTTTTTTTCCTTTAAAGTTGCCTACAAAGAAGGGTGTTTGAATCTAGTATTCAGTGGGAAGAATGCATTCAGAGCCCAGACAAACTGACAAATGGAATTAGTAAGAAAAGGTCACTATTGGGCCATGAATTCTTATTTGGTTGCTGTGTAATAACCTATCCCAAATTTCTCAGCCTAAAAGTGCCCATGCGTCACTGATGATCAGGCATGGTAGGGTTGACTTGTCTGCTCAGGGTCTCAAGGCTATGACTGAGGGGCTGGAAGGGTGTATTCTTCACGAAGACTCTGGGAAGGAATAACTTTCTTGAAGCTGGGGACTCTTTAGACTCCCTGCTGTAGGCCTTACCGTCTTCAACAGGGATCCCTTGAATCTTTGTCTTTCTTCGAAACCTCTACCCTCCTCCTGCTGTAAGGGTCCATGTAACTAGATGAAACCTCAGAGACAAATCTCTACTTGAAGTCCCGTGGCCAGAGGAATGAAGGACATTGGCAGGTTCTGGGGATTAGCATAGGGAGAGGAAAGGCATCCACCTACCACCTACTGCCGCCGTGGACAGGGCTTAACCTGTACCGACAGGCACTCATGTTCAGTAGTGTCAGCCTTGCTGTTTATACTCAAGTGAACCACAGAAATGGCTTTTCTTCCTAACCAGGATCATTCTGTATTTTGAAGTTATTTTTTTAATAAAATTAAATTATGTTGTGTAATGTGCTTAATAGAAAATGCTTTATTGGATGATTTTGTAACATCCTGTTTACTGCAAGTGGCATAGTTGATATTGTTCAAAAATGTAGAAAATACTTTTGTACATACTAGCAGTGTCTAATTTGTATATACTTCTATTAAATTTCTTTACAACTTGAAAAGGATCTTGTAGAAATGAAAATACATGCTAAGTTTGAGTCTGCCTACTTGGTCTTTCTTTGCTCAGACTCCAGTTTCTGACACAGGCAAGTGAAGAGACTTGTCCACTGGAGGTTACTGGGGTGCAGGGGTGACCTGGGAGAGCCTGGCAGAAACATACCCTCTGGTGGGATGGATGCAACTCCAGGGCTCCTCCTGCTGTCCTCAGCTTCGGAAAGAGTATGCAATTCCAGCCTCAAATGTTCCGCCTAGGAACAAGGCATCTGACTGTGGCACCTCCTCATCATTCACCTCCTAAGACAGACCATACGACATTTAAACATACAGGTGACGATCTGCTGGGCAAGGACGGTGAACCTTGGAATCTACCGCCTTGTTTGCAGATAACTGAGTTTTCTAAATAGTGTTTCCCCGGGGCTGGAGAGATGGCTCAGCGGTTAAGAGCACTGACTGCTCTTCCAGAGGTCCTGAGTTCAAATCCCAGCAACCACATGGTGGCTCACAACCATCCGTAATGAGATTCGATGCCCTCTTCTGGTGTGTCTGAAGACAGCTACAGTGTACTCATAAATAAAATAAATAAATAAATCTTTAAAAAAAAAATAGTGTTTCCCCAAGTTGGGAAACTAAAAATTGTCAAATGTGGGTGCTTTAATATTTAAAGAAGATGCCAGGTGCGGTAGGGTAGTACACACCTTTAACCCCAGCACTCTCTTGAGTTTAAGGCCAGACAGGGCTGCATAGTAAGACTCATTAAAAATATAAATTTAAAAAGAAAATTTTAGCTGGGTTTGGTCTCACAAGCCTATAGTCCCAGCACTTGGAAGATGGGGACAGGAGGATCCACTCAGTCAGCCTGGGCTGTGTGAGGCTTTGCTCCCACAGTGTCAAAAGAGAGAATACCAAGGAACTCTGCTGTGGGCTTTGTAGACATCACGGAACTTTATTTGCGTCTGATAAAAGCCTGTTTGATGAGCTGGACAGCACTGGGACATGATCTCAATTCTTTAATTAGCCAGAGAAAGGCATGAGCCCTGGTCCTATGAGGGATGTGGGGGCTAGATGGGCCTCGGTGGATTATAGCACTGCCTGCTTCTCCTGAGGATCCAGGTTCAGTTGCAAAAACCAGCATGGCTGCTCACAATCATAGCTCCAGTTCCAGAGGATTCAACTCCTGGCCTCTGCTTACCAAGCATGCAAGTGATGCAGACATACATGCAGGCAAAACTTCCTTAAATTATTAAAAGAACAGGCCAGAATGTTTAGCTGAGACATTATTTGTTGCTAGAGTTTCTCAGGTACCTTGAGGTATAAGAGAGAGAGCTCAGCACTCTGGAATCAGTACACCACAGCACAGGCTGCTTTCTTCTAAGGCCTGGGCCTCTTGCCATAGCTGCTTCCTCCCCGTGGCTTAGAACAGCCCAGCATTATTGCTGTCTTCAATACCAAACCTCATACAAGCAGTAAGACCCAACTCCACAGCCTGAGGCTGAGGAACTTGGAGATACCAAGACAAAAGTGGGTTCTGGAAGGGCCAGGACTGGGCCTCTGTCCACTGAGCCCTAACCCTTGATCCCTGCTGCCCACGTGCAGATCCTGAGAACCATTGTCTCCTAGTTGATGAACCCAGATGATGCATATGACCCGGCAAGCTGATGCCCTAACTTGAAGAGTAGTCTGCCTCCCTGAAGGCCATCTGGAAACACTTAGGGCCCAGGACCTCTAGAACTCCCACTACTACTACTGGGCAGAATGTAGGACCCGATGGTCTCTGCATGGCCGTGATGGATGTAGGCCTTGACACCGCTGCTGGTGTCACGTCTCACTGAGTAAATGGTGGGGGCTTTGGCAAGAAGTACAGTGGCCCGAGGTTGTGAAGGATTAGGGTCTCCGGGAGACCTTCTGGAAGCTACCAGGGAGGCTTTCCTGCTAAGGCCCTGGAGTTGGTGTGGGAAAGGGAACCTGATGGTTTGCATTAGGCCCCCACCCTTGTGCAGCTGTGGCCCATTAGTGCTGGGCTCAGCAGCCAGAATTGAGGGAGACTGAGGAGGCCACGTTTGGGTACAGGGCATTATCACCCTCCCCCTCCAGCTTGCACTATCCACCTCTTGGACTACCTAACTTGTATTTCTGTTACCTGGTGAGTTCAGTTTCCCCAGCCAAGTGCTGGAACCCCAAGCAGTTTGGGGCTGGAGTCACCTAGCATCTGGAGTCTAAAGCACCCACCTCTGTCATGGTAGTGAGTGCTCCTGCTCACCAACGGAGTTGGAGGTTGTGGCCTAGAATCCTTCCTCTGTTCCCATGTTGTCCCTCTAGTTGGCTGTACCCCATCCCCTGACCACTCAATTCTGCTTAGGGGACTTCCGGCCTTTGCAGCTGTTGCCAGTGACAAGCCCAGTGCGACCTCTTGCCCTCAGTCAGAGTTCTGAGAACCCAAGTAGGACAGCTAGGAGGAGATGCTGAGGGAACTGGGGGGGGGGGGGGGGGGGCTGTCACTCCTTTACGTTAGCTAAGGCCATCAAGCGAAGGGCCAGTGTCCTTCTCACGGTTAGGCTGGGAATGCCCCGCTTCTTCCAGCTTCCCAGCACAGGGTCTACATGTTTTCTTTCTCTCTGCGGGACCCTCCTTGTCCACCCAGTAGGTACAGCCCTGCCCTTCCCACCTCCCAGGTCAGTGCAGCATACTGGGTGGAAGTGTAGGAGACTTCAGTAAGGGACCGGTTCACAGCTTCAGCCTGGAGCCTCAGTGCCCCAGCTAGGGCCATGCCCTACGGATGTAACGGTAGGGACTTTCCTCTGCCCCCACCTTTTTTCGCCCTACCGACTCAGCTTCCCTGCTCAGGGGTTAGCCAGCCCAGTGTCCTCAACTATTTGATGACACCTGCTTGGCTCCAGAGGAAGAGCTACAGCCCCCTGCACACCATGAAGAAGGTGTACACTCAAGGAGACGGCTGTGGCTGGAGTGGAATGGCCCAGCTGGAGCACTGTTGGGAGAGTGACTAGGCTCAACAGTGGCCGCTGGGTAGGGGTGCGGGGCGTCCGAAGGAGAGACCACGGTGGTAGCCCGTAGTCCCGCCCTGTCGTCGCTCGGCCTGGCAGCGTTCCTTCGCAGCCTCCTGCCAGCACAGCCAGCCCCCTGCCCCCACGGAGCCGGTGCCAGAGCAGCATTCCGCAAGCCGAGCTGCATCTCCCCAGCGCGGAGGCTGCGCCGAGGGCCCCTCGGCCGGGCCTGGGCCTCTGGCCCCTACCCGGCTGTCCTAGGCAGGTCATCTGAAAGGCTTCTGTCGCTGCGGCGGTGGCTCCAAGGCTCTGCAGCCAGAGGCCCCCAGGTAGGTCCCGGAGACACAGAGCAAACCGCGTGGGAAGGCCGGAGCAGCTGGAGACCCCAGACTCACCCCCAAGTCGGAGCAGCCGGGGTCACAGGGGGCGGGAGGTGAGCGCGGCTGGGGTGCGGGGCTCGGGGCCTCAGCGTCGCCTGGCTCGGGGGAGCAGGTGGGTCGGGGGGCGGCGCGCTCAGCTCCGCGACCTCACGCCTACCCTGGCCCCGCCCCTGCAGAGCAGCGGGAGGACACCCGGGTTAGACTCCGGCACCAAGTTCCCAAGCGGAGAAGGGCAGAGAGGGGGCTCGGCGCGGGAGGGTGGGGTCGCAAGTCCAAACGTTCCCACGTCACCAGCCGGGTCGGCCCGGGGACCCCGAGGCTCTCCCGAGGGCAGCCGCAGCGAGACGGCGCGCGTCCGCGCCCCCGGCCGGCACGCAGGGCGGCCTGGCCCTTTAAGCGGCCAGACGGCGGCCCCAGCTGACGCGCGGGCTCCAATCGGCGCCCCGCG